GGCAAATGAAGGCAAAAAAAATGAACTGGCTGCAGATAACAGCTTACATATTTTCCAAAACAGAAGAGAAACTTTTCACTAGCATCTCCAGAAACTTCCACTAAGTTGAACACATAAGTTACCAGGCAGCAGAATCAGTGCCTGGTCACACTGTGAAAGAACTTGGAATTGAACCACACTGGACAAATTCTGAATAGTGATTGTCTTCAGAGATAGCACAAAAAAAGAAGTATGAACGAGTGATCAGCTCTGAACATCTATGACCTCACCTATCGTATTTTTTTCCATATTTTATACCCAGCCAGAGTTTTGTCATCACATATTAAACCACCAGAATTTAGATGAGAGAAAAATCCTTGTAAGGTACCAAAAATGGGATTCCCAAATTTTTTGAAGATGGTAACCAGTACTTTTTATCTTCCTTCTTAAACTGTTATTTACTCAAGTCTGTAAACCGTCTTAGTATCATCTACAGCCTGTTAAGCCAAAGCAAGAACACATTTGACAAGACACAAATCACAAAGATGCCACTATGGAGAGGAGATTTTCAAAATGTATCACACATGTAAGTTCCCTGATCCAAATAATTCCAAGATACACTTGGGGTGGGAGTGTGTGGTGAGGATGGTGTTGGTTGTTTTTTTAAAAAATTTATTCAACAGTGGAGAAAATTACTGAATTAACTGATCCATTCAGTATCTACAGGGAGTCAGCATATAAACATAAATGATAGACTCTGAAAGTCTCTCTTTTTAAAATGATAAATTCTAGCCATTCTTTACCTCTTGGTTTGATTTTCAATAAAAAACTTAATTCCACTAAGAACGGGTCGTTCCTTGGCCCTTCAAGTACTTTATCTTTTTGTCTGTTATTACTACATGGGTGCTGTGTATTAGTTCAAAATGCTTCTAAAAACTGTTCAGGTTTAGTGTTTACCTAACATATTAAATAACATAGTTACACTAAATATTTCCAACTTTTAAGACAACATTCAGCTACAAAATCATTGTAGACAATGTCAAAAGGAGCTACATACAAATGAATTTTCAAAATCAGTGCAATACTGATTATTTTACAATCTAATGTTTTAGAGATTTTTCAAAGGTTTCATCTAAAATTCCTAGCATTTTAAAAGTATGAGTTTAGTTCTGACTACTGCCTCTTAAATAGTTCTTGAATTTGAACAGAAGAATCATGTATTTTCAAAGAACCTGGAAGAATGTGGCGTGTCAGTGAAATCCAGTAATTTTTCCCTAAAGGAAAAAACCTTTTTCCCTGAGGTAATAATGAGCTATTAGAAGGATACTAATAGTTTTACAAGATTTTACTGACAAAATAGAAGATAACAATGGAAAATAACACCTTACTTATTAATGTAAAAGAGTAGGCAAATGAGCTCTCTTTATGTATACAAATATGGGAGTACATGTAAGAAAGCAGTGGCTGACTTTAAAAATAGCACCATAAGTAAGAAAAAGTTGACAGAATCAATACGAATTTGAATTGATTTAGGAGCCAATACAACTACATAAATATATACCTACCATATCCCAGCTTGAAAGTAGCTCAGGTTCTACACTACCTCACAAAAATACAACTTTGTATTTAAAATTTAATGAAATTTATATTTGGCATAATGAATTATAAGCTTTCAACAGAGCTGCACTGTTTCAATCCAAAATAAACAATACATATATAGGTCAGTTCCAGCTCTTAACAGCTTTACTCCTCCACATAATGTTTACAGATTTGTCCATTTGTGATTAGCATCATTTAAAAAAAAAAAATTAAGAAAAAAACCACATTAAGTATCAGAATGAACAGACATGGAGAAAATAAGCTTTCACAAGCATTAATTCTAATCTGAAGAAATGAGACAGTAGTTAGTTTTAAATATCTATGTAAAATGTAGTTCTGTGAAGAGATGGGGATCAAGGGCATTGGCTCCTTTCTTTCTAAACTTCACAGTTCAGCTGTGAGTTATCTACAGAGAGCTCCTTACCAAACTGGAGTCTGAAACCAGCAATTAGCAATCAAGCAAACAATGTACCAGAAAGATTAAGACAGATTCTAATGGCTTTGCTGATCTATGTCCAGTTCAACATACCACTCAAATCAAGGCTACTTTAACAATGAAAACTTGACACTGAACACCACCTTTGCTTCATCAGCTTTATAATCACGTCCTCCTCATTTTTTATCAATAAATCTAACAGTAACTCAGAAATTGTTGGGTTCAAGTAAATTTTCTATTGGAATCAAAAGCATGACTGGAGGTATTTTACAGTTACAACATTTTGACTGATATTCCTGTGACTTGTTAAAAATAGAGTTCTATTACATCTAAAACAAAACAAGTCAAAATAGGCAATTTACTGTTTGCCCACAAATGACTCAACCTTAGGAAAGGGAAAGCAAGACTATTTTTGTCCAGCAGAGACCTAGCATCTTACTGAAAATTGTAAAGACATTAGTACAACCAGGATAGCACCTGACAGTTGATTTTAGTAAGCTTTTAAGTCCCAGTAAGCTGCAAAATTTTGCTGTATTTGCATAAACACATATCACAGCTTAGAATGTTCTTTGATAGCTCATATTTCAATATATTACTTCCAGTTCATTTACAACCTTTAAAATCACGAAAGCTATTTCCATAGAAGAATATTAAATGGTTATGATTCCTTTATATTCAAGACTTGTTCACGCAAAATGACTGGAAGCATAGAAAAAAAACCTCATATAGTTTTAAATATATATTAAACAATAAAAAATGAAACTGCCAGTGAACAAAAATAGTACTCGAGCTTTGCTTTTTAACCTGACCCTAAAGGGCTATATTTAACCCTCAGAGCATCACAACTGATATCGGCATGCAACAAAATGTAAGAAAACTGACTTGGCATAAAAAAACCCAGCAAAATTCTTCTACACACATACAAATATTCTACTTCTGACATAAATGTATCTTGCATTCACGCTATGAAGATTTTTCTAGTAGTCTTTCCTGTTGCTGAATGCTTGAGATGAAGGCAGAAATTTCATGTGTGCTCAACCATCCCTCACATCCTTCAACAGTAGCGTATTCAGCCATGGGAAAGGATACAGACTTGTGGAAATCACAGAGGTAACACCCCCGAAGTACTGCCTCCTGTTAAGTAAAGCATTTTCTGCAGTCTGCACAAAGGGGCTCAAAATCAGTAACTGGATATGAAAAAGTTGAGTGTTTAACGCATATTTCAGTGAAGAATACTGCAAGTTTTGCCTCAAGGAGCACCTTTTGATGCTTCTAGGAGGAAATGAAGCGAGCTTTCCCAAACATAGGATATATACATCCTCCCCAAGAAAATCATAGCAACTGTCAGTGCTCATGAATCTAACTTTAAACTTCAAGTGAAATCTTCACACCATTTTAAATACCTTCTTAGTCACTAAATTTATGTATTTATCCCTCAGTCTGTGTCCAGATCCACATATAATCTTGTAGCATCTTGAAGTGGTAATGTCTAGGTTATTAATATTTGTGCTGCATAAAGACAGCTAAGCTTTTAAGTTCAGTTTGTTCTTGAATTGAGTGTGGTTTATGGAAAAGACTGACCAATGAATCATCTGATTTAAATGAAAATCAGATTACTTTTGGTAAAAGCTTGGGACATGGCCTAAGGATGACCTTATCCTTCCAAAATACAGTATGCTATAGTCCAGACACAAGTATGTTTTTTCCCCTGTCCTCTGGGCTGATGTGACTACCATAAAACAGACTTCCTATTCCCACTGACAATAGAAAAGAAGTTGATCAGCAAATCCACAAAGAAAAAGGACTTCTGAAGACCCAAATAGGTAGAAGTTTGCAGAAGTTTAAGGGGGGAGGGGAGGGCAGACATGGAAAGGAGAGGGGAAGAGGGAGAACGAGAACTTTCAGTGTTTTGAACTGTGAACAATTTTATCAGGCAGCACAAGCTCTTTCAAACTAATAAATAGTTACAGACACATATAATTTAATCTGCATTTTAGAAGAGGAAAATGGCATTGTTTGTGCTGATTAATAAATTTACTTTTTGTTCTGTACTTTAGTAAGGGGGGACCCTTTCTACATCATAACAAACAGAGCAGGATTGGTTTTGGGGCAGGTTTATGTCAATCATCCAGTCAGCACTGAGACTAAGAGTAATTAGGTTAGATTCAAACACAGGTTATTCTATTTGGTTATAGATTGAACCTGGAGAACTGAAATGGTAAAGACAAATTTATGAGGTCTGGATATCTAGCCCACCTAGTTGCCATTATGATATTTTTAATCATTTTTCATCTGATTTTACTCAGAACCAGAAGTACAAAATGGTAAGCAAGTGGCATTGATGCAGCCTGTAAGACAATGAATGCATATGCCCATGAACTACCAGGGGCTGAACATGCCCAAATCTCCCAAATGTTCTCATTTTTGCCACCTGGTACACACGCCTGCTTTGTGTGACACGGAGCTGTACAAGTGCCCCACTGAGGTTGGGATTCTGTCTGCTTCTGACGCTGGACTTAGGCATCCCCCTTAAAAAAATTTCTGATCCCACTCAGAAATGACTTCTTGGATGAAGGAATTCCCAATTGCTAACTGTGGTCTACTGAGAATTTCCTGAATCTGGCCTCACACCTCAATTATTCCTCTAAACTCTACCATACTATTTGCCTGTCCACAATGGTACTTAACTAAATCCTTCTTCTGGCTCTACTTGGTGTACAAGACGTTGCAGACAGTTAAGATGCACGCTTTACCCAAAATGTTTGGGCATTGAACCTAGGAAGTCAGAAAGAGCAGGGTATATTGAAGACCAGAAACCCAGCTATAATTAGCAGAAAGCTACTGCACGAGATGTAGGCCAATTGTCAGTTATCTGATTACTCAGAAAACAAATCTCTTTATACCTCATGGAAACAAAAAAAAAAAGAAATCAGTCTTGGAAAAATGTTTAACTGTGTCGGCATAAGTTTTATAATTTTAAATTTACCTCTTCTCTTTTTTTTTGGACCCATTCCTTGTGCTTCTCTTCAGCTATCCTTTTCCTCCTTTCACATTCTTGCTTTTGCTTCATCTTCTCAAGCTGTATATTCATTTCCTAATTAAAGAAAAAATACACATCTTAAATCTGTGATGACCACCTACATCAGTACACTCAATACTGAAAATAACGCTGAAGTTAAAACAAGCTAAGTAATAGATTTTTACATTTTTCCTTTATTAAGGTTTTGGAAAAGACGGATGACAGTCAACACAGAAATACTATGAAATACAACCACTGGAAACGTATAATTTTTAGAATATGAACTGGAAATACATATTTTAATTAGGCTTTGGAAACAATTCAACATACCAAATCCTCCTCAGCCTATTTAAATGCCTTTTTAGTCAGTAGAATCTTAATTTGCAGCAATACATTCCTACAATCCTACAGATTCACATGGTGTACTGCTCTGCCTACAGGAAGGCATCAAAAGGTAAAAGTGAAATATTACTCATTTGTGATGTTTAGTACCAGAACTACAAGAATCTTAGGGATTATCCCAAAGCTTATTAAAGCCAAAATTATTGAAGATTTTAGCAAACTGAAATAGAAGCTTTATTTTGAAGATGAGAGAAGAAATTCTATCTTTATAGGACACACAATATATATGCAATCACTTCTATCTCTCCAAGGAAATTAATTGATAAAGAAAAAACATGACTAAGATGATAATTTGAGATGCCTTCCTTCCCTAAAAGTAGCATTAGCACAAAGTGCTGTTTTTCAATGAGAATTCGAGCTTTCAAACATAGATGGAATTATTTCCATGAAACTCATTTTATGGTCCCTCCGCTGAACTCAGTTTCAGAGTAGAATCCACTCTTCTTACGACACTGATTTAAATTTAGTAAGACATCAAGAAAAAATAGGAGCCTACAGAGATCTCAAAGAAAACACTCACAATACAAAGTCTGAAAATACAGCTGTTGCTGTATTGAGGCAAAGTTACTAACACCTCCTTTAAATTCTGTACACCTTGACATCTGTATGGCAGGAATCCTGGCTTCTGTAAAAGGTGATGGCACTTTAAGTACCTTAGAAGACCGCATCCACTATCCAAACTTTTATCCCCATTTCCAACATTCAGGGCAGACTCAGTGCTGCTGTCAGGAAAAGATCTGGGACTTCACAATAGTTTCTTAGGATATCAGTTTAGAATAGTTTTTATATGCAAATGTAATAATACATTTTTATATCACAATCACATATTTTGTCCTCTTATGGCATCTTACAAAAAGGTTGATTGTATTTTTTCCCCTGATATAAGCTATTTGAGTTGCCTACGCTGCAGTTTAATATCTAATGTTTTCAAAATCTTACAGATTAAAAATAAAACCTTTACCTATTCCATTGATTTCTACATGGCCTTAAGTAATGCTTGTCCTATGACTGCTATTAATATATAGTTGAGAGACTGTATTAATGTAATAAATTGCTTTGGTAATGTAAATTATGTAATAAATTGCTTTGGTTCCTCATCAAGGCCACATGAGAAGTCCATATCGAAACCACATTTTCTGCATGACACCAGAAATTACTTTGGCTCATTTTTTGTCCTTAAAAATCAAAATAGGGAGAGACGATTACCAAACTGTAATCTAAAGGGGAATTCATGAAATGTGTGGTTAATATTAATGGATCAGAATATATACCTCAAGTTTAACAAACTATTTTGGTGTTATGATGACCTCTAAAAGACTGTTCCAGAACCTTCCAGTGGTTCATGTTTTATAAAAAACATGAGGTAGCCCACATAAAATAGCCATATGTTATATTCACTTCACAGATAAAGTGAATCACAGAAAAGTTAGGACACTGCTCAAGGTCAAACAGTAAATCAGTAACTAAAGTGAGAAATGATCTAACTTTGATGTGATTGTTCTAACCACTACCCAATACTTCCAATTTGATTTTAAACAACAGTATCATTTAATCAACTGCAACTACAAACATATTAATCAAGAAAAGATATAGCGCTCTCACTTAATTCTGACCCAGTATTCACAAACAGTTCATTTGCAAGGGGGCAAAAGATAGGAGGGAAAAAAAACGCTGGGACAGGAAAACCTATCCTGGGAAAGGACACCAAACAGTTGTATAATTAAACTGTAAGTGGGTAACAACACTGTGCCTTATATCTAAGTAGCTTGGCATACTTACACCCAGAACACGCCCTGCTGTGCTTTACTACCTACATGCAGGCGTATGTACCCATGATGAAAATCAAGGTACCAATTATATGTTTTAATCCTTTAAACTCAAATCATTACCTGACAGTTGGATAAGCAAAATATTGTACAGCACTGTTTCAATGCAGCAAAACATTTAGCAAAAGAGAATGCATGTAGCGTGAATCATATCACCACTGTCCAACACAAACACTTATGGAGGCTCAAGATACTAAAAAATAATGGACAAAACTACTTGTGTTTCCACAACCAAAAGAAAAAAAAAAAAAAAAAAAAGTCCAGTGCTTGCTATCTTCTATTAACATCAAACCAAATGGATCTATTTACCTCCACAGCTCTAGCCTGTAAGCGGGCACGTAGCTCCTTCTCTTTGCCAATGAACCATTCTTCCCATGGTGAGAGATTATCTTTCAAAGGTGACTCCTTTTCTCTGACTGCTATTTCAGAGTCTTCAGCCTTCCTGAATTAAAAATTAGAAATGTAAAAGAATATTATCTGTAACATATTTGATTGAAATTTAAGCAGTACTACTGCCTTAAAAATTGGCATTTCTTTTATGGCATAACAAGACAACAATGATATAACTTTTCTACCTGCTTAGTAATCTCCAGAACAGATAAATGGCATTTATAGTGCACCTCTGAACATCCCGCTTATGTTCTACTTATTAAATTCTATCTTGTTAGTTAATTTTTTTTTCCCCCCCTGTTCCAAACTGTGGAATAGATTAAAGCATTACCTTTTACAAACTAAACAAAAACTCATACCAGACACGTCAGTGTCACTCTCCTTCTCACATATGGAAACCAAGGGAAATCAGAGATTTAACATTAACATTTTGTCTTTGGTCAGAGAGAGGCTCCATGTATCAAGTCACCTTTACTATGAGCAAAGGATAATCAAGAATATTTTTCTTCTTTCAAGTCCTATAGAATTGGATTCATGATATCAAGCAACCTCAGCATTCAGAACCCATTCCTTCTAATGTTTTTTTCCATTTCCATTTTCCATCCTAAAAAGCTTTCACAGGTAACATACTTAAGAAATACGGCTTGCATACAATGCTAGATGATATTATACAAGGCTCTTATAGACTTTTAATAGGTTACCTTGCATAACTCACTCATAACTTTTTTACTCATAAATAATGCAGCAATCCTAGCCCCAGGCCAGAAATATCTTTTATAATATTCTATAGATTCTGTATCTCATAAGTAAGACAGTATATTAGGCTCTAAGTCAATGAAAATTGAAAACATGCCAATAGATTTCTTCATAAGATTTATTCTTTCCTATAAGGAATTTTTTCTTAACAACAAAGCAGTGAAACTAGACTTCGCTTTAGTATTTTATATGGACATACAAGCTCTGGAAACACCTACCTACATACATACTTCACTACAGTGAGTAATTCTGGTTGCTGAATTCAAGCTACAGAAGAGGCATCCAAGCAAGCATATTATGTTAATGCTCCTGAAATAAATGTTTTAAGCATAAGCTATCTGGCTTTTATCAATGTAAAAGCATTATGTAGTCACAGGGAACAGCAATACTCTGTTGCAAAACATTTTACATCCTAGTAAGCTTTAGAATATATATCTGCAATACAAAGCCTTTGGGGACATCACTGCTAAGGACTTTTGTTCTACTCTTCTCCATTGTTGTTACCCACATGTGCGAGCAGTAACATGACCATGCACTAGTCAAGCCGTGACACGTCTAGGGGAACCGAGTCACACTGAAACTACCCTGGAAAAGGGTGGTTTTCCCCACTCAGAGTCAGCCCCCAACCCTCTTTATACAGTGTTGCCACAGAGATACAGCACAACAGAACTGAGAGGACACCCTGACAAACAGACAGCACGTGAACAGCAGCAGCACAGGCCAAGCACTCCCAAGCCCAGTGTTGTCCAACACATTCTGCCGCACCCCAGGGCTTTTATGTTACAGCGTTAACAGAGACAGTTTTTAAATAGGTACTTATAATAAGGGCTGTAACTTAAGAATGCATAATAACACATTTTGTTAGAAAATAACTCTCTGGAAGTTTATTAAAGATAAGGATAAATGTATTATGCATTCAAATTCAGGAAACCAACGCAACTGTGTCCAGACTTGACATTTTGGGCAGGGATACTTCCTCAAATACATTCTTTTGCTGTGCATGATTTGCATTATGGCACCTTGAACTAGAATAATGCTGACATATTAGACCAACCTGAGAAAAAGCACTAGTAGAAGGAATAATTTAAGAAAAATTATATTTACTATGTGTTCTCTTGGATCAGTAATTATAAAGTTCAAGCTGTTAACTTCTCAAAAAAAAAATTCACACTAGTAAATTAAAAACTTACTGTATACAAGTAAGAAATAAGAGAAAATGAAGTTTAAACAGAGGACAACACAGGCTCATTGTGAAGAACTCATAGCAGAAACATTTCTCCTCTTCTGCAGTCACAGGCCTAAATCTCTCAGATTGCACCGGAGCACAGCCTGGAACCCAATCCTTCTCCTGTGCATCGCAGCCACCGGTCACACTCTCCCTGGCACACTGATTACTTACTTAGAGGCACACAGACCTTGAATTTCATGGGACCATCTGAAATGCTAGCATGTTCCCAGCTATGACCTTCCTCAGAATAATTCAAGTAACAGACTTCTTAAAGTACTGCATTCTCAAGTGCACATTTGTTTTTAAATATCTTAAATCAAATTAGATACATTTGGCATTAGAACTGAAGTCTGGTTAATAGAAAACACTGTGATTATCATTTACCATATATTCACTTAAGTTACTCCATTAAACATAACACTGATCCATAATGAAAGTATGGAAATGCCTAACACCATTTCACAAGACCTGGTTTTCAGCCTTTCTCTTTTGCAAATACTGTATTTCCCACGTTAAATGTCTGCCTCCAGCTAATTTTTGTGTAGTTTCAAGAGGACAACAACAACAAAAAGACTGTCTGAGAAAGTGTGTGCGTATGTAGGGGGGTAGTAACTGTGTAAGAAGTGTTTTTCACTATTATACTTTTTAAATCTTGGCAGTTATAGATGGAAACTGCTATATGAACATTTGGTAGACAATTATTACAACGCAGCAGCAGTATTATTCAGATGTAGCATCTGCATGAATGAAGTACATACTGTGCCTGAAGTTTAATGAGATTGCTCCAACTCAGAGCCTAACAGAGGTTGTCTTCAGTTGCACCTTACCACTACCAGGGAATACGGCAGCAACAGACCCAAAAATGGAGAGCTGTTTCAAGTAGCATCATAAGCTGCAAAGACATGTAGTAGTTTGAACTGAGTGCTACAGAACTTCAAGGTATGTAAACTAAATTGCTTATTGGGAAGGAATAAAAAGAGGCAACAGAAAACCTGAAACATGAGGGCCCATAAACAGGCTACTATCTTTTTCACTCTGAAGCTACTATTTCTGACTACATTTGAACACTTCCCCTGGATTTTTAGCACCTTTTTCAAGACGTGCTTATAAAAAAGGTTCAGTGTGGCTCATAGTCCTTCAGTGCACCTGGGAGGTGTGCGCTGCTGTCTATGGGAGTTTGAAAGCCATACTGGAACCCCTCACTCCTGTGAAGCTCAGGTGGCTTCCCCTCTTCCCACGGGCACTTTTATCTCAATTCAGTCTTGCTAGTTACATCCATCATCAGTTACTGCACAGATCTGCAAAGTTTCCATTGTGAAGGTTGTATTCCAGCCACTCCCTGCTCTTTCCCCTTCTATTTTAAAGGGAGGAATAAGTATTGTTTATTCTACTGTCAAGCAGGGGAGATCCTGAGGGAAAGACAACGTATTAAGTTTGCATATAATTAAAAGGGAATTAAGTTAAGCCATAGGAACAAAAACTGTGCATTGCATACACATGAAACTGACTCTAGCTACACGCTGGGCAAAATAGCCTTTTAGTCTCCAAGAACGTTTAAAAGGATGACAGGAAAGGCTGTACCTTTTCAACGTGCAAAGGCCCTGAGGCTCAGGTCAACAGCTTATAGGTATTTTACAAGCCCATGAAAATACTCAACTGCTCGTAGAAAAGGCTGCCATAACCTTTGACTTCCAAATATATCGTGAAAAGGGAATGAGGGGACGAAATCACTTATCTATGCAAACGAATCTGTATTTATGTGAAATAATCTTCCGTCCCCAACAAAGGCCTCGAGTGGAAGCAGGCGAGTGCGGGAGCGGAGCCCCTCACGCCAGGAGAAGCCCCGAGCTGCCTGCTCGACCCTGGGGCCAGACGCAGGGGTTACCTATCGCCTTGTCGGCTCCGGGAGGCCGCCACCCGCTCCTCCTCCTCGCCGCTCGGGGAGCTGGGGCGGGACGCGGGGGAGAGCGGGGAGCAGCCGGAGGGACTCAGGGGCTCCTCGCCCTCGGAGCTGGCGGAGGACGGCGGGCTGAGACGGGCGGCCCTCCTCCTCCTGCCGCGGGTCCGGGCGCCGCTGCTCATGCCGCCGGGTAGCACCGGGGGGGGAGGGCGGCGGTTAACGCCGGCTGAAAGCGACTAACGGCCGCCTCCCGCCCGCCCGGGACCACGGCGCGGCGGCCTCCGCCCGGCGCAGCCCACACTGAGCTCCCGGCGGCCCCCGCGGCTTCCCCGCCGCTGCCATGGCAACCGCGCCGCCAATCCCCGCGCGCCTCCGCCGCCTGAGGGGGAGCGCGCGGCCCCGGCCCTTCCCGCCGCCAAAACACGGGGCCGGGGCCGGCGGCCGCTGGGTTTTGCGTCCTGCAGTGAAGCCCTGCCAGCACACGCTCTCCCGGGAAAGGCAGCAGGCCCCGCCGCCGCCTGCCTGGCCCTGCTCGTTTCTCCACAGTGATCACAGACGGTTCTCCGCAGGCTAATGTATATGAACTCTTTCCACCTGTTCTTTCTTACTAACACTTCTGCGCATTTACCAGAACAGGAACCAGCAACCTCATCCACAGATGTGGATTCCAATACATCAGAAGGAGGTAGCTTATAATTTTCTAACAGCCAAGTCAAGGTTTGTAATCTATCCTTACATTAAACTGCAACATCCCATTTCAGTCTCCACAATTAGAATCTTGTTTCTGACAAAATTCTAAAGACTCGTTTCATATACTTCTGCTAGGCTAATGGTGTCCTTTCCCTTCCCTCCTATCAGTTAATTTTCCATTGAGACTACAACAATTTGTTCTAAACAAAACAGTTTTGTTTGTTTTTTAATACATTCCTGTCCTTGTTTGCCACTAGATACTTTGTCAATATTCCATGGTGGTTCCAAATCCCAGGAACGCAGCTCCCCACCGCCAATATGGGGCCAACTTGACCACCTCTGTTGATGACCCCGATTAAGGATTTGGCTAAAATCCTATGTATCACCAAAGCTTTCTGTTGCCTTCAAATCTCATCTACCAAGGAGTTAACCACGGACTAGCAGCAGCCAGCTTTTCATATCTTGAGTCATTTTGCTGTGGCTCAGAAGTACTACTGATATTACCATGAGATACAGAAACTTGTTCGTAAATTTGGTTGCTGTGTTGACATAACTGTTCTTACCAAGATCATCAAGGTAAGAGAGTTTAACAAGTAGATTTTTAGTTGGATAAACAAGTTGAAAAGTAAGCAACAGTATTAAAAATTCTTTGTCTTAAATGGGAGAGTAATTTGTGACATTTGAGGCAACTGTATGCTGTAAAAATTGAATTTCACTGGCTCAATACAAAAAGGCTATCAAACCTACACAACCATTATGAGTGCCACCAAAAATGAATGCCATGAGGTGGGAGACATTTCAATGCCATCATTAATGGTCCTAAAGAATGCCCAAATGATCATACCCACAAATTTTAAGAGGGGCAGTTTGGTGCTTGGGCTACAGATTCACAGGCACCCGAGTCCAACGTTTCTCTACTGAAAGGGCTGCATCTCTCCTGTCTGTCAGGAGCATATACTTCTCCCTTCAGACCCTTCACTGAGCCACATTACTTAATGAAGTAGAAAACCATCCCAATTCTTTGGCCAAGCAATGTGTGGTCTGAGCAAGTTAAAGCTCTGGGAGACGTCTGACAAGCAGCAGGACAAGGCCACAGAGCGAAAGAAAGGGAGAGGCAGAGGTGAGCTGTGAGGGATTTCCCCCTTTCAGTGGTGGAGCTTCTTAATTTGGCTTACCTTCTCATAGAAACTACAGTTTTGGCAGCTTGGAGAAATATCATCATGGTTCCTGTAAGGAAAAAAACAAATGTTACCCTAGAGCTGATAATATGTGCTAATAATCAGCTGATGATCTGGAACAGGTTTCCAGAAAGCAGAAAAATGCAAAAAAAGGCCTGAATTCATCTCTGATCTAAGCACTCCTATAACACTGACTGTATCACTATGCAACAATTGACAGTCATGATCTTAAAATAACTCTAGTCACATGTGGTAGATTGCTGAGCTGATCATCAAGTATTACTAGCTACAGTGTCTAACAGACAACAAATTATACCTGTTAAAATAATTTAAGATGAGGATTCAAGTATTGGAGACAACAGACTATCACTAGTACCTAATTTCATGTCAAGTAAAGTTACAAGAAGAAAAAAATTAAACATTTAAAATCAGACTAAATTCTTAGGACACAAGGTGCACTGGGCAATGCCTCAGCTTTGTTAAACACAAACCACCTATGGCTCCACATGAACGTCTGTGTATGTGCTGCATGCAGCTAAGAAGTAAAAGAATTAAAGAAGTTGTTTACTATGTGGCTAAACAAGCACTGTGATCAACGCTCCATGTCATGGCAGGCATGAAAACTTCAGGTATTTCAACAGGCTGCAGACCAAGGTCGTTTCAAAACATCTTAGGAAGGCTTGAAAACCTCCACTGACCTTATTCATCTCATAGTGAAGAATGGCAACCATCTTGAATAGAAAAAAATGGATAAAAAAAGTCTGGTCTCATTGAATTGAGGAATTCTGGACTCACTGCACTGGGCATCTCATGCTTCTGATAAAGCCCCACAACCGTGCCCCTGAGATGGCCAGAAATTACAAAATGGATGTATCAAGCCAAGGCAGCAGCCAGCTGCTATCTTGCCAAAGACACAACATTTGAGTCTTTCTTTTCCCTCCGTATATTATTATACAGAATCAGATAATTCCTTGCAGATTCAAGAACAGGAACTGGGAAAATAGCTTATATTAACAAACCTTAGTATTGTGACAAGGTACCAGAGTGGATGTATTAAGATTGCCTATACAGAGGGTGGCAAAATCCAGTTCAGGTTTTGGGGAATTAAAGCATCATTATTGGGATGGCAGAAGCACCCAACTTTGAAGAGAAGTGAAAGTATAGAATAGCATCGTCATCCCTCTTACCGTTCTGTCCAACTTGTCAAGCCAGCTCCACGGCCACCATGCCCTAGTTAATACAGGCAAGGCAAGCGCCCAAACAATGTCATTTTGTAAAACACTAAGGATTGAAACAACAGTCCTGCAGGTTAAGGTACACAACTCCTATGGCCACAGAAGGACTGACAAGCAGACAAATGGCACATTACAAGTACATGCTTTGTGGCAAAAACTTAATTTTGTGAATTTAGTGCCATAATAGGAAAGACTGCCTCTAAAGAGCATCTGCCCTGGCAGGAATGAAGTGCCAACATTGCTAAAGCCTACAGGCAAGCTCAAACTGACACAACCAAGCACAGACGTCGCCACAAACAGCTGAGTGTAGTGAGTATATATACACACGCCCCTATGGGTGGTGTGATTGTGAAAAATCGGCCTAATTTCTCACCAAAGAAATTATAAAAACTACATTCAGTCTTCAGTGCTAACTGAACCACCACCATCAGACTATGGAATAAGTACTTTAAACTGTCTAGCAACAAGGAGTTATATTCAGAGTAAATACCAACTGATATAGTCACAGACCTATACTTTCTGTCTGTTCAGTCATGCCAATCAGCGTGTCTGAACATTCAAATGCTCCTGACAAATTGCTCGCAAGTAATCCCTAATTGCTATCCACAGTATTTGAAAAGCCATTTTACGTAGAAAATCATGTCAAGAAAGCAATTTTACAGGTAATAAACATAGAACTGAATTAAATTCTAGGCATAAATCAACTACCCTGAATCACTAACTACCCTAACTACTCTTTGAAATATTTGAATTTGCCAACTCTTCATTATGAAGTAGTTCTATTTTAGAAATTCAGCGGTAATCTGATCATCTTACTCTCCAAAAACATGAGCAATCAAAAGGAAACCTCTCAGTTCAACTTCATACTAGCCAGATTTAATGAAAAGCATCAGATAAGATTGCTGTCAGATGTAATGTCTAGTTCCACACTTGCATTCAGAAACAGAGAAAAAGCATAAAAATAATCCTACTGAAAATAAACCTTACTAAATTTAGGCACAAACTAAGGCATAGACAACATTCCTTCAGTTTAGAAGAATGTCTCTTTTAATTTTACTCACAACCTGGAAGAAAGAAAAAAAAAATAGAATATTTGAACAAAACATGGTTGAATTTAAGAAGTCTTCCCATGTCTTCAGACTTTCCAGTGTGGGGAAAAACAGTGCAGCAGGCACGGGAGAAAGCAAGCTACTTGGCTCCACACAGTGTGCCAGAGCTGAACGAGCACTGTCTACACTCATCTACTGGCTGGTTTTGTGCCTGCATTTTTAGTGCTGCTTGACTAGAAGCTGTGAAATCTGAGGTCTTGGATTGCTTCAGTTTTCCTTCATAGTATGGTATATTCTCATCTTTGCAATACACTGTACCTGCTGCTAGTCCCAGTCCTGCTTTGGCTGATTGCAGCTGTGGAGCCGTCTACTTTCAAGGAGTGCAGCCTTGAGATGAGCATTTCACTCATTTAGGGAAATGTGCAAGCACTCTATGAAACATGTTTATATTAAAATCCCATCTTTCTGAATCAATGGCAGGATTCCCACTCAACACAGTTGTTTTATGTTAGTTGGAGATCACAGCCTCCTGCTTTTGAACAGCCTTTGCTTCTTTAGCTAGTTTACACTTCTGTACAAAGTTTTTGTCTCTTTCAAAGCATTAGTTAGTAGCAGGTTTATTTGCTCATTTTTGGGCTGAAATTTTCAAGACACTGAGACACTTCATATTTTTCTACCCTCAAATCTAAATAATTTCCCTATAGTATATGCCACCACGATCATTAACTAGTATTTCTTAGGTAAGGCCTAAATGGTATTTTATAGTAGTGTAGTGCCATGTATACAACACATGAAATGTGCCCATTCACCCTCCAAGTTCTTATAGTATACAACAGCAAAGAAAACAATAATTTGTGATGTATTATCCCATTTCAGATTTCACTTCTTTATTTGCTGAATCATGTTCAACTGAACTCTAGCGCTGAGACTAAATCGGTCAGATTCTACTGTACAACATGTGAAAGGTAATATTAAAAAAATCTCTTTCTAAAAATAAACATGCTAGCAGTTAAAGATCAAAAGCATCCACGCAATTAAAAATTATTAAACTGAGAGTATGTATGAAACAAACTTTGCATTGTGCTTTTAATTAAAAATATTACCCTGCAAATTAAAACTGAAGGGTCAAAAATAATAATCAAAGTGAAAAGAATTA